TTAACGTAGACATGGCCTTAGAGGATTGGACAGCAGCTTTAATGCATAGGTTACCAACATGTACAATATTAAAGGCTGCAAAGTTGAGAGGTTCCTTGCCTTTACAATATGTCTGCGCCGCTGGAAGGATCATGAAGGGGAGACAGGCTCAAATGACAGCAAAGAAGAGAGGTAGAGGGGATTTCTTCAAAGCTTAGAGCAAATTAGCCCGAGCAGCGGAGAGAAAATCCCAGAGAGCATTTCTCCGGTGATTAGCCGGTGAAAGCTGTCTGGAGATCTGAACTAGAAATACAGTTTTTGAAACACAGTTTAAATCCATCCAGACTCTTACACAGATATCTAAAAAACTTGCACTGCTGAACCAAATATAGTTATTGCCAAGATGCCTGACGGCTTTTCTCTGGCTTATGCTTGCCAGGTATGATTCAGAAGTGAGAGTAAAGATATGAGAAAAGTGGTAATCTTTCTGAAGTGGGAAGGATATTCCAACTAAAAATAAAGGAGAAAGAGATGTGTACAATGACCTGAAGCTGTTGAGTTTTGGCTACCAGGATTGGAAAATCTGAGCAGCTGCAGGAAACCACCCAAGGAGCTGAGGACGGTTTGATGCTGAACGATCATTTGTTGAGGCTAAGGACAAAAGCTAAACTGCAAATTTGTAGAGTGTTTCAAGAGCCAACTGAGGAGTGATTTCCAATACTTGAGAAAGAGGTGTTTAAAGAGTTATCGAGTAGTGAGGAAAGTTAGTTGGTTAACTGCATTAGTTGTCGGGGCATGCCAGATAGTAAGACCAATGAGAAGAGCAGAACATCTAGTCTTTGTCTCCAACGCCGCTAAAGTTGAGGTTTATCTATGTTATTGATCGCAAAGCTGCAAGTTTGATCTGCAAATGCAACACAGTAGGGTGGAAAAATTGTCTGTTGTCACATCAGCATTTTACCAATTGCCATCTTAAAGGGGCCCTATTATGCCCACTTTCAGGTTCATATTTGTATTTTGTGATCTACTGAGACATGTTGACATGCTTTAATATTCAAAAAGCTCTTTATTTTTCACATACTGCCTGTGCTGCAGCTCCTCTTTTCACCCTCTGTCTGAAACCAGAGCCTATAGTCTGCTCTGATTGGTTAGCTGGACGGCTCTGTTACGATGTTCAACCGCCTAGATATCCCACCCCTTAGCCTATCACGTACAATGTGTTGAGCGCTATCCAATAGAACAAGTGTTACATAGTGATGTCATTATGTCCTGGAAGTAAACAAAGGAGTCCAATGGAGGCGTTTCAGGCAGGCTGGGGGAGTGTGGGAGAGAAACTCCCTCTGGAGGGAACACAGAGGGTTTAGCCTTTGCAGACCATTTACATGCACAAAAACATATATCACTCACTACACGAAAGGGAAAACACAATAAAAACCCTTCAAAGCAAAAATACTTATTACTTGTTTGAATGGGATCAATGGGCATGAGTTGCATTCAGCTGTTGTTGTTGTTCAGTTTCTTATCCTGCACTTGGGTCCACCCTGCTTTGCTCTCCAGCGGGACAACTTTAGCCCTAACAGTCTGGGTCAAACTAGAAACACGCACCCACACTGAGAACACCTTCCCAAACATCTGTCTTGTTGTACTCTTATCCTCATACAGTATGTTCATGATATTAACATATGATGATACAACATATTTAAAAAAAAAAAATTAACAGATGCACTTAGATTTACTCCAATACTTGTGTACAAAGCTGAATTTTTCATACCATTATTCAGTTGTCTTCTTGAACCACACTATTTTCTTTTAATGTACTGAAGATGTCTGTAATAGCTGCTGTCAGAGCCTCGTGTCAATTACAGCCTTGCAATGAAACAGCATCTGCAATCTCAATCCAATCTCTTCCAAATGTGCTGGAAGGGCAATTTTACCGTCATAAAAAATACGAGCTTGATTAATCTCAGATTCAATACCAATACCAATAACATTAAGAACTCCTCTGGGGACGCACATATACAGTACTTCTCTGAAAGCTAGCACATGCAGCTGCAGAGAGAAAATGATGCCTTGATAATTTATAAAGTGTGACTTGCTTTGCAGTTACAGTATTATGAAAGCATAGCAAGCTGAAGTAATAACGCTGGAATCAAGATTGATGCGTTATCTCTTGAAGATTTGCAACCAATTGCATATTTTCCATGAAATATATTCAATTTGAGCCCCAGTTGGAGAGCAGGCTGCAGCACATTTCTAAATTGATCAAAAATAGACTTCAAAATCACTTGAAGAAAATAAGACTGTAAGAATGCAATAAACTGTTAAAGGATAGCTGATGCTTTTGCATTCCCTAATATGAAAAGATCAAATTCACAATCGATGCGAAGCGAGGCAGGAAGAAAGAGGTAAACAGGCAACTTCTAATCGGCAACCTTGCAGTGAATCCGCCTCCCCCTTTTTCTCTCTGTCTGACAGAGCGTTTCCCCAGAGCCTCAGCTCAAACTGCAGAACCGCTCTGTGCGGCAACTGTTGAACAAAATGGACTCTCACAAGAAGGAGAGAAAATCCCTCAGGAGGAGAGGAGAGGAGAGGAAGAAAATCAATGCAAGGGAAGGGATTTTAAAATAGAAGACATTGAGAGGCCGGGGGGAAGGAAGGGAAGGAGAGAGATGGCAGAAGGTTGAGACAGACTGAGAGGAAATAGACAAAGGCTTTATAATGAAAAGATCCATAACAGAAAAGCTTCTGAAACCATGTGTCCTAAAGCTTCATTTCAGAGTGCGTCATATTCACAGAGTCTGGTTTGAGTCCCACAGTAAGCGCTGTTGCCTGATGCTTGCAGTGGAGGCAGAGAAAGACACGGGGTTTGCTAATGAGCACTCTGGGAGTGTCTGCCTTGTTGTTCTGTTGAGTGTTATTTCAAAATACAGCAGCCAAGAGACAGGGGCGGGAAGTTAACTCGAGCTGTCAAAAAATATTTCGATCTGGGTTAATTGCTCAGGGAGAGGGAGCCTCGTGATCAACAGTAGAGAAGTTGTTTCTTTCATAACGTCTCCTCAAATGTACCTGTTACTTAGTTTGAGTTGGGGAGCATTTCATTTGTTGTACAGTCGCTGTAATCAGTGTCCTCTCTGTTGCTCTTTATTTCACTCAAACATGAACAATCAGTACCAGACCCGCAGTTTGGTGTCAATTGCTTCAAATTCAGTTCAGTCTTAATTTCCTGTTTGCTCCATGATCGTTCTTGGAGATGGTTTGTAGATGTATAGAAACAATAAAATCTCTCACAGTCATAACAGAGAGTGTTGGAATATGGTGTCAGGCTGTTTTTGTCACAGCAGGGAGGAAGTGTGCTTACTGCTGAGAAGGAGGTGTGAAAATGTAAAGGTAGTATCGTAAATAAAGGTATGTATTGATGTCAAATATTGATAGAAAAATGTACTTTAAGGTAAAGCATAAATGAAAAAAGCATTGATTGCATGGGATCTACTACACAGTGTAGCACCATTTAAGTTCACATTTTAACCAATTAGTGTATGATGTGGTGTAATTTGGTTCAGATGAATAATTCTATTCACATTTCCTGGACATTTTGATTTTCAAGGTAGTTAACACCTGGAAGACAATGGAAACATTATCATGTATGGTGATACTGAAGAGTACTGTACTGAAGCAATGAAGCACTCTCCAGACCTCATTAATGCAGCAATGCCACCATCATAGATCTAGTCTGACCTTAAGTTAACATTAACATTTTAACTGGATTTGATTGCTTTTCAAGCGACTCACAATGGCTGTTACAATTCAGATGTGTGGAAAATGTATTTCAGATTGAATTAACAGAAAGCAAATGTAAACTATGCAAACTCTTCGACACGTGACTCTATTGGGTAGATGTTATTGTGAGAATGTTCAACTTTATCACATGGTGTAGGCTTTTAGATGTAATGAAGATTACACCCGAGTATAGGGAGGATCTGTGAAGTGACTCAGGTCACATAATTGTTTTATGGCACATAGAGAAAGAGATCAGCTGCTTGTATGAGACACACCTGGAAGGGGAGTGTGTTTTATGGCTTTGTTTGTATACTCTTTAAAGGTCATGGGACCCGCTGTAGGGTACTACCTCACTACGACAAACACCATGCATGCACACAATGAAGATCTGTAAGAGAATAAACAAATATTGTGTTTTCTACCTTTGTTTCCTCCCTTTCATTGCTCTCTAGACAGCAACAAAAGATGCCACGACCCTCCAAGCAAAACTGCTTACACTGCAGCAGCAATAACCTCAGTTCAGCCCCAAAAAGACGGTCAGAGTCTCCATTACAGCCACTCATACGTAAAACTCAAGATATAGTGAAAAACTGTGTTCGGTCTTCAACCTGTTGTTTTCTACCTCAAAGATGGGAAAAGCGACCAATGAGAACTTTGTCATTTTTACGTTGTTCAGCTTCGAAACATTCATTGGCTAACAATAACATTATTGTTCTATTAATATAAAGTGAGGTCAGTTACTCTTTAAAACAGCTGGTAGTTATGGATACTTTTTACTTAAGTACATTTCCAAGTCCACACTTCTTTACTTTTACTTGAGTAAAGAAGTTTAGTCATTACTTCTACTTTTACCAGAGTATCTTTAAACACGAGTATCTGTACTTCTACTTGAGTAAAGGATGTGTGTACTTTTGCCATCTCTGTTGACTACCACATAATACATCTAGAACAAACTAAATGTTAGGATACATTCCTGAAAAAAATATAATTCCAGGAAGTAATTATTTTAACATCACAAGACAACCATAAACCCTATTGAACGCACTATTACAAATATAACCTGGGCACATTGAAGCAAAATCCTCCCAATAACTGTCGATGTGTTGCCTTCCTTTAATTTTTCCTAGAGGCTCTGTGGTGATTTATGAGTTTCACTGATGCTTAGTATGTGTTTACTGCAGCAGGGACTGTCCTTCCTCAGAGTGACGGGCAGCGTCTGCCGGCAGCGAGGAGGACACACTCACCAGGCCTGAGACTTCCTCCTGGGCACGCTCTGTCTCGTCCACTTGGAGTGAGGGGTCAGATGGTAAATCAGCTGCCGGCAGATCTTGGTGGTGGACTTGAACGAGTCAGTCTCCTTTAACACACACAGAGGACGAATGATGGACAAGAATTGAGTTCATACTGCAAATCAAAACAGTGGTTGTTCATATACAAATCACAAGTTTTAGGCAAACAAAAAAATATGCACAAGCTGTTAAAGATATTTATACATGTTTGATGTCTTTTTCTTTCTTCCTGCTAACTACGGACTGATTCTCCCACATTCACAAAGTGTTTCTTTCTTGTCCTTTGAAAACAGTGGCTTCAAAGATTTTCCCACACAGAAACATTCATTTATTTGTGCTTTTTGCCTCCCTCTTGCTTCATGCCTCCCCTCCTCTCTGCCTTCTCGTTTCTCTCTCCCACCTCCGTCAAAGACTTTAAATGCAATGGCTTTAGCCGAGCAGGGTAAATCTAATTAATGGTACAACACGACAACAAGAAAGAGGCAATGTGGCGAGAGGGGAAAAAAAAGACAGGGGCCATTTACCTTAAGGCGATTAACTATTCCCGCTGCCATTTCTTTTCTCTGGCGACAAACAACCATGCCTCATACTTCAAAACATGCAGTGCTGCTGTTTCAGCCACTCGGATGACTGAACTCAACATTAAAGCTGCGCATACTGATTCGCAGTGTGGAAGTATTCTTAGAAAATGTTAGTCTGTTGACTGGAAGGATCACCAAAGCATTCCTGGATGTTAATCACGCACCTGTAAAGCTGAGTGCATCAAAAATATAAATTAAATTGTGAAACTGATGACCATGAGCTTCACAAATGATTTATCTTTTAGCCTCAATGTGTCCTTGAATATATAATGTGAATACATGTCAGAGTGGTGGAAAACACTGGGCAAAGAGGCAGCTGCCGGGCCTTGAATCCAGCACACTGCCTCTCTACATCCCCCTCACGTCTGACAGAGTTTCCTGCCACGGGTCGCCAGACAGGGAGATCGCTGCCAGCTTCTCACCCTCCCCCTCACCCCCGTCTTTCTGGGCTTCCCCCCGCCAAAGCAAACTACGATAAGATTAGCGTTTCCCACAGGTGATTATCATCTTGACTCGGTAAGTAAAGACTAGACCACGGTGACTTTATCTTAAAGCAACCCATCTTTTCCTAAAAGGGATAAAGCCTTTAGATAAGTGTAATGGCTGCTGTGAGTTTTACAGCCAGTCTGCTGCTACTGTATTCAGCCGCTTCAACCAGACTGAAATGTCATTTGAATTGTATCATCTTGGATTTGTATGTCGTGGTAAAGTGGAAGAGCTGACTCCCAGGCTTGATAAATCATGTATTTTATTGAACACATACATCGGAACTTAATGCGCATGAATAATGAAAGAGTTTGTCTAATGTATTGACAGGTAAAAACTAATATAAGACAACTGGATATACATCATACATGTTTTTTGATATCAGTAATATCTGTAATACAATATGAGAGTGATAGCAAAGAGGTCGATATAGCTAGTGTGCCTTAATTTAGACCTTAAAACGTCTATTTCTTTGCCTTTTCTATGATATTTTGAAGTCACAACATATTTTTCTCCTGCAAGTTGCATCATTATGACCCATGGCACAAACGGAAGCTGTGTTTCTGACTATTGTATCACAATTTATTGCAAAGGGAGGCTGAAGATTAAAATGTACGAAGGGAAAACAATCATCTACATTTATATTTTCAATATCTTCATATCATTTTGGTACGATCCCTTACTGAGAGGTGTCTGTAGGCTGGGACAGAAAAGGCTTCACAGTGGACTCCACTTTGATCCCACCTGCCACCTGCCACCTGTCAGATCCTCAAAGTGCTCTCATTGTGAGTGCCAAAGCCCCACAATCCTGTCTGCTATTGACCGTGGCCCCCTGCCCCGTTGACCTCGGCCTGATGACCGCTGGGTTCCTGCCCACGCTGCCCAGTATGAAGCAGCCTAAGCAGGTACTCTCTCACACCTGCAGGTCCTGGAGCACAGCTGCTATCGTTGGCCAATGTGCTGAAAGAGCACCTGAGCAGCAGGGAAGACGGTGCCACTGCAGAGCCAAACGCTGACCCACTGCCTCATCTTGGCCCACACATTAATCCTTAACCCTCCGCCCACCCTTCAGCATGCAGGTGTCTCTCTGTAGCCGTGTGGTAACTCTCATTTCAACCTCAATTAGTCCTCTAAATGCAGCTTTTCCACATGCAGGCTCAAAAATTCAACATGGCTTGGCTAAAAACATGCCCATAAAAACATTCTTGTGATGACAATGTTATAAATCAGTTGTAATATCTTGTTTTTCTTCATATTTACAGTATCTTACTCAAGTCGTCTTGTAAAGCTATATGAGCAAATATCTGAATTAGGGCTGTATAAATAAAATAATAATAATAATAGATTTATTTTGTTAGCGCTTTTACAGGTGCTCAAAGACGCTTTACAGATATAGTGAAAAGAAAAAGAAAGGAACAACAAATAAATATATAGTTAAAGTTAAAGTCAAATAATACAAAAACAATCACACATTAAAAGCCAGATTGAAGAGGTGAGTTTTTGTGAGTTTTTTGAAGGTGGTGAGGTCAGTGCACTCTCTGATGGGTTGTGGGAGTGAGTTCCAGAAATAAAATGTATTAGCCTCTCACATTTCCCTTGTAAAGCATGAGCCAGCCCCTCGTGTGGAATCTGTGAATATTAAGCAGGATGCCCGCAGAAAAAAAGACATCATCTAATATTTAACTCATTTTAGAAACCTGAAGACGTGCTTAGTGATCTACGGTATTATGCTCATGGCTTAACACATACAGTAAACTTTAATTTCCCTTGATCGTAGCCTCTGCAGTTTTTGTACGAAGACAACTGGCAGTTCCTTGCTGTCACAACAGCATGACAGGAACAATATGACAAATGCACTTAGGCATGGCTAATACATGTGGACATGCTGCTTCTTGCCTCGCCTTTGTTTACAATTGTAGCCGTGGCCATGCTAATTAATGTGAGCACTGTAGAGATTGTTTTTCAGTATTCATGAACAGTTTAAACAAACCGGATCGCTCTGGATTCTCACCCTTTTCGGGCACTGCAGGTCGCGGGCGAGACTGAGCAGCAGCTCGTGAGAAATGGGGTCCACCAGGTTGAGAAAAGCTGCGTTCTTGTACAAAATGTCATTGAGTGACGATCCCTGGAGTCCCAAATCCTGAGAGGTAGAACAAAGAAAAATATGTGGTTAACTGCTTTTAAAGCTAACAGTAAAGACTGTTGACTTGGTAATTAATTTGATTAAAACAGCCATGTCTAAAGCACACTTCATTTAATATTCAAGTGTCGTTCAATGGATAGATTAAGGAAAATAGATTATCAATGTTGATGAGCTTTCTTTATTTTTATTGTTGCCTTTCATTTCGCTCTTATCTTGTAAGAGCTGATAAGGTTTTGCTGCGTTTACATCCAGTTCAGTTGATTAGGGGGTGGAGAGGTGTCTGTGTGCATACCATACATACATACATACATACATACATACATACATACAGTGTGTGTGTGTGTGTGTGTGTGTGTGTGTGTGTGTGTGTGTGTGTGTGTGTGTGTGTGTGTGTGTGAGGGACAGTACAGTTTACATAATTGCGGTCTTTCTGAAAATATTACAGTTACTCTCTAGTGAAGAGAATAAGACTCTTTCCTTTTTCATTTTTTGTGGTTTCATTTGTAGGATGAAACCCAAAGGATTTCCCCACATGAATTTCTATCATTTGCACCAAACATAACTCTAAACCATATCGGGAAAATACTTTTAGATTCCAGTTAAAGGCTTTTCTGCTTTCTACCTTCAATCCTAAGCATTCCTCAGTGAAAGATTGTGTGACAGGGAGAACAGTTCAATGAATCTAGAAACCAGGAACCCTGTTGTTGACAATAGTTCCTCATCATCAGGATATTTCTATATTGAAGTGACAATGTAAATACGGGGCTTCTTCAGGTAATTATTTGAGTGCTGACGTGTCTTTAACAGCCAGTATTTTCTGCCTCACCAGCAAGTGTCAGCCAACGATACAAACACACAGGAGAAAGAAAAAAAACAGCCAGGAAGACTTGAAACTGAGCAGATGAAACAAAAATAAACAGAGATGAAAGGTTGTGAGAAAGGGGGAAGAAAGTAAAAGGAACTCTCCTCTCTTAAAGCTGTATATCTCTTATAATCCAACAATCCAATTAACAACTGTTAAAAGATGATTTTGTCTACTCAAACATGCTGTTTGAACGGTGACATAACTGCTGCTTACAAACATGTTTCACTGGACCATAATCCTGTAAAACTAGAAGCTGAGCAGCTGAAGGGTAAATACAGTCAGCTCAATATGCATTGAAAAGCTTCTCAGAAAGCTTGAGGAGGAATCTGTGTAAAACACACTGTATACGCTCTGACAGCTCTAACACTTAGGGGCGCAGTGGAAGCAGAGAGGAAAACTCCCATCAGCATTTTCTCCCCCTCCAGCTTTTGAGTTGATTTATTACAGTGGAGCTCTGTGGGATTCCCTGACGTTGGACTATCCTCCAGACCAGCACTCCCTTCAATAAACCTCATTTAGCATAGACGCAGGAGGATAACACGTCTCCATAAACGGAGGCACAGAGGAATTTGGAGATTGTTTTATGATGACGAAGCGCTGTAACTGTGTAGTGCAGCTGCAGCATGAGAAATGAGCGGGTTTCGTCTTCAAAAGACACAGAGATCTGATCCTGTGGATTCATTTGACTGATTCCTAATCTTAAAGGCAGGAAATGTTTTTGATGTGGAAGCCTGTGTGCCCTCAGATCAATGTCCTCAGGAAAGCTGCGTATCTAATCTGACGTCTGCCTCGTCACAAAAAGTGAATATAACGTCAAGCTCTAAACCAAAAAACAACATCCCACACATGCAGTTCATCAGAATCCAATTAAATATATTGCACTGTGCCAAATCCATTCCCAGCGTTTTCTGCTTTA